TTTATTGATTCTTCATTTGTCATTGTTGAGCACACATGTCGTTATTTGCTTTCTTTCTGTACTTATATATTTATTTAGTTAGTTGTTCATGTGTTCTTCTGTTTGTATATGTTTTAGTTGTGTATGTATTTACCTATTATGTGATTTACTAATGTGGTCATTAAAAATCAGTTCTACATGTTTGCTTTTGTGTTTATTCAATCATTTATGTCTGTTCGTTGATTTACGTGTTTCTTTGTTTATAATATATTATTCGTATATTATATAGTATATCTTATTCTTTGACTTCCTCCTAGATTTATGCATTTATGCATGTATTTGTTTGCTTGTTTTTGTGTGTCTTTGTTCTTGCTTTAATTCTTTCTGTTAGTATTTCTTTATTTTGTTCTTTATGTCTTCCTTTATCTCTTCAGGACACAATCATGTATCACGGTTTTGCGTGTGTCTATTATTTGCTTCTTTATTATGGTTTTATGTCCCTTCATTCCTCTCTTTCTTTCTATTTGTCTGTGTTGTGTTCTTGTTTTGGTTTCTTATCCCTGTCTTTTCTCTTGTCGTTGTTTTGGTTGTGTGCAGTCAATGTGTTGTTGTTTTTTGCCCGTCTGTTTGACGTGCAAGGTTGCTTACTTGTATTTACAGTGCCTTTGTTTATCTCCATGTTTTTGTCTCCGATTATGTTTGTTGCTGTATGTGTGTTTTTGTGCTTGCTTGGTGTGCCTGTCCTTGGCCGGTCTCGCCTTTTGGCTGGCATTGAGGATTGCGCCGGCTGAAGTAAAGAGCAGGGGCCCGAGCAGCCCCTTTGGATTGTGTTTGTTAGGGGCTCAGCATGCAGTACCATCTGACGTCTTGCAGCATGTTACATCTGCAAAGTTGAGGCCAATGTGTTATTTTGTCGGTGGTGTTACATAATTATTTGCCCTTCACTACACGGATGATGGTAAAACCACAAACACACACACACACACATGAATCCTAGATTTAGGTGCAAACATTGATCAATGTCAGATATTGCGTGTTTTCATCAATCGAGACCTACGCCTATCCATCATGTTTGGTGTGTTCTGTCAGTGCTTGCTTGGCGTATTTGGCCGAACATGCGAAAGTTGATGGACGGGGTGACTTCTCTGTCCATGTGTTTGTGGCGTGTTTTTTCGCACAACAGCCGAAAGCTTTGGGGACCCGGCTAGGATTCTGAAAGCTTAAGGGTCTGCCCTTGGTCAGGTTCCTGGAGGGCAGGTAGAGTGTAGAGGAGCTTCCTGGGCTGTCGGGGATTCTCCTTGAACTCATTACATGGTGGTTTATTCTTACAGTTTTATTGGCAGGATCAAATTAGGGCCAACATGTACCAGCTTGGACAATCTTAGTTCAAGCTTGATCGCATGTTTGCATCAGTTTCAAGAGGAACTTGCTAGTATTCAAGCTGATTCGGGGTGTGTATTCAAATCAAGGACCCTCAAAATGTTCCCTTTGTTAGCCACCCCGAACAGTGTACCGAGCCTCCACCCAACGGGCCGTGATGGTGTTTGTCGCTGTGATGTTCAGAAGTGTCAATCAAGGCCTTTTCCTCAAGTTGAGTCTTGAGATGCCTGGGGCCCCTACCTTCAACAGGGTCTTTTGCGCCATGGCCGAAAGACCCTTGGGAAGAACGACCACCAAGTCGGAGATTGTGAGCATGGAGCAGATCGTCACTGCACCTGATGTTTTCCCTGCCGAAACCCCAATAGATGTCTCTCCTTCGGTGCTGGGAAGGAGTCTATCACTGCTGGATATGTTTTCTTTGAAAGAGAACCATGGCCATGACCTGCTCAAATCGTTCCTCGCTTTAAAAAGAACCCTGCCCATCTTGAGGGTGGTTTGATCGGGCCTCGGATCGCCACTTTTGGAGGTTGAAACAGGAATTCCAGAGAGCGGACTTCCCAATTGGCTCAAAAAATATCAACAGCATTGGGTTCCTTATTCTTGTCCTCTTTCCATCATTGGAATCACCGAACAGGCTATTTTCGTCAACCACGGCCACATTGACAGTGACCCGCTTTGTCAACCTGTGGATGTCCTGCACTTGTGAAGCAAAAAGTGATCGCTGAGTCGGATGGATCCGAGCCTTCCGAGGTATGGACCCTATGCAGAGGCAGATCCTGGAGGCACGGGTCGGGTTCAAAGGGGAAAGGCCGAACCCACGGATCGGCGGGAAGGTGTTTACCGCAAAAGAGGCAGAATTGGAGCGCAAGCTCTGCCATCTTTGCCCACAAATCCATGGGTTTGGTTTGGTCGCATGGCTGTTGACCTTTCACTTGACCTGGGAAAATGGCGGGTGCCCCACTCGCCATAGCAGTGGGACCCCTCCCCCCCCGTTCTGGGGCTCCCGACCCATTCTGTTTTTTCACACGAGTAGTCCTTCTTTTCTCGGTAGCTTGAGGATGTCAACGGTCGACTTGCGTGGCGCTCAGTTCTAGGGATTGGCATTTTGATGTGCACCTGGACCGTCAGGGAATATGATGTCCTTTTGAAGAGGGTAATAGTTGGACCGCCGCCTACAGCCGCCCGTGGGACGAACTCCATATTTTGTGCTTTTTGTGGTTGATTGCTTTTTTTGGTGGGGGGCGGGAGTTGGGGGGTGGGGGATGATTGCGTCACTTTTTCTTTTGCTTGACCATCAAAAACCATGGACCCCAAGTTTTGGGCCCAGCCATTCCCATGTCTCGGGGCGAGTTCTTGAAACAGCTGATGTTGTTGCTGAAGCAGCTAAGTGCTTGACAGACGATGGTTGGGGCTGAAAAGCGGAGCTTCGTGCGGTTGGCCATGTCATGTTCTGAACTGATTTGTCAAGAGCAGCTCTGATGCAGTTGCAAGGGCCGTTTCCCAAGCTGACTTCTCAAGAGCCTGTGTGTTGCTTGTTCGCGAAACACGGACAAAGATTTGGGGCATTCAGGCTTTTGGGTGAACAACATATTAAGCACCCCCCTTCGTCGGTTATTGAAAAGATAATTCCTCATGCCGGCCCAAGCAACATGCGGTCTCCAGCATAGCAAAATGCTTGACAGAGAATAATTAGGGCTGAACAACGGAGCTTTGGACAGCAGCGTGCCAATGGCATTTGGGAACGCAAGGAATTCCTCACTGGCTCGGCGCATTTCACATGAGGAACAAACAGTGCCTCTCCTTTCCCCCATGCAATCGCGGCTTGGAAAGGTTGCCCGAAAGCTAACAAGCCCACGATGTCACACGCGCAACGGGCGTACCAAGTCCTTTGAGGGTCCATGTTCTGCAAAGTGCGCATTGCTTGAAGCTCGACGCGATCCTCGATATAGCCGTTTTGCTTGGCAGGATTCCCCAAACCAATTCCATGCCCTTGGAGTCCTTGGAGTCCTGGAGCTGAAGCGGGGCCGCCTTCAGGGCACTCTGAAGTTTCGTGGCTGGAGCTGCGAGGACCGTGTGCAGCCCGTTTCTGGTGGCTGAAGATCACCATGCGTTCAAAGGGCGCACAGAAAGGAATGTGAGAAGCCCGGGACCCGGTATGGCTATTTGAACTGGGGAACAGCCTCAAAAATGCTCGGACACGAATCCCGAACGCAAACGACCAGGGATGGTTCCGCAACTGCAACTCAACCTCAAATGGGTTGCAACCCTGCGAAATTTAGTTGTTTATGCTTCCTGAAATTGTGGTTGTCAAACGGAACCCAGATGCAAATCACCCATGTTGATGTGGCTTTGTCTCAACGTGGACTTAAACTTTTTCCCATGAAAACCCACTGGGCTTCTGAGGAGAGGACCGAAACAAGAACCCTTTCACATCCCTTTGGCTCCCTTTGTTTTGTGGGTGATGCCCCGTTTTGGTGGGTGTTTCAACGGAACCCCCATGTCGAGCTTTGATGAAGGAGAACGTACCGCACCGCCGAGCTCGCCAGGTGGGCTACGCAGCTCTGCACGCTGCTGGGCACAACACCAAAACGCTTCTGCCGCGGTCTCAGGGGGGCCTTCTGTCGCAATCGACGTGCGCGGCGATCGATGCGCGAGCTCGGGATCCAAGTCTTGGCTTTGGAAAGGGCGCGCGTGGTTTTGGCCCACCCCCCTTTTGGCTAGAATCTCCCACTTGGTGTGAGGGGATCCAGTTGAGCGCCCCCAAAAAGCCTAGTTGAGCATTAGAATAGTAAGGCCAAGCAAAAGCCTTAGCCATCTAAATCAGCTTTAATTAATGAACCGTCTAGAATACCACCAAATACTCAAACACCATCATTTGCATCACCAACACCTTACCCAAAGCAAAGTCAGCCAGGTTTTTGTCCGTTAGTTTTTGTTTTTTGCCCCAGGCAATCGCTGACGGCCATCTTTGTGGGCTCCCCCACCAGTGAGTGGACGCAGGGCGCCTCAAGCACTTGATCGGGAGCCGATGGGTTCACACGCGTTTAGAAGACGGTCTGACCCGCAAGAAAGAAGCATGATAGAGGAATCTCCCAAAAGTTGGCAACCCCCAAGAGGCCCTTTTTCGGGGAATCTCCAAGGTTTCAGTTTGGTGTCATCTTCACGGGATCCATTGTGTTGCACCTAAAGGGACACCTAAGGCCTGCGGAATGTTGGGATTCCGGCGGAGTTCCCCTTGAACAACACTATGTAAAAGGGGGCCTTTCCCAATGCGCGGTCCTCTGGTCTTGTGAGAACACATTTGGCCCTCAGATGAGGTGCAAGCAGCAAGCAGCCTAGACTGGCGAGAATTGAGCAAACCCTGGTCTTTCCGCAGGTGGGTCTTTTTGTTGAGAGCATCCATTCGAAGTGTGTTTTTAGAGGAAAGCCAAGGACAAGCATGCCGAAGCTGACTGCGAGGGGCGATTTCACAGCTTTGGGGGGTCTGCAAGGTCCTTTGCACATTTTGCGCCATCGGATGTCGCAGCTGGGACATTGTTCCCTGTACCTGGTCTGGGTGCTTCTTAACATCACCTGGGTGCCAATGCAACGCTGGATTTTCGTTGAGAGGAAATGCGGGGAGCCCTGTGTGACTGCGTCTCAGGATGATCGACACTGGCCCGGAGGAGTCCGGCGGATGCGCACAACGCTCCTCGGAAGGCAATCAGTGCATTTGTTCCATGCGGTTCGGTCAAGATTGCAAGTCCATTGTCCACTTGGCAGGGGCGTGGGGGACTCGCTACATTCCCCGGCACAAAGGTCCCACGTCCTCTTGAGAGAAAAAGGTAAAGTTTTGACCGTGCCTTGGCGAGGGGGATGGTCAATTGGCAGCCTGGAGTTTGCATGTTGGCAATCTTCTTCAGAACCAGAAACTGCTTAGCTGAACAATTGTCAACTGTTAACAGTTGTTCAGCTCGTTGTATGGTGGGCTTCTCACTAAAACTGATCAACCAACGAAGAAGGAGCCAGTCTACCAGGGTCACTGATTTCACCTAGGAAGAAGGACCCCCCCTTTTTGTTGGTGCCGCTTTTCGCTGCCTTTGCTAAGTCTTTCTCTTGGACCCAACGCCATCTGCCACCATTTAAAAAAAAAAAAGCAGCCCCGCGCGAGAGTTGGGCGTCATTTCGTCAGGGGTCACCTTAAAAATTGCAATTGACGGGTGGTTCGATCTGGTGGTTTCGATTGAACCCGCGATTTTGGAGGTTCCAAAACGATAAATGGAGGAAGCCCTGACTTTAGTGGTTTCCTGGTAGGGAGGAATGGGAAATCGAATTGGCCAACCGCAGGCCCCACTTTGAGCCTGGAATATTGCTTGGCTTTTCTGTTAGGCCCAGAAGAGGATACGGATCTCTGCCGTGGAATCTTGACCAAGGGGGGGGGGGAACTGGTCAACCAAACAACAGAAGGGCAAGCGTCGAGTTTCATATTGGCGCCTTGTGTTTTTGACGAAACCGCCAGCTCATTTGGAGGGACAAGGTGGTGTTTTTCCAAATCTCTGGGAGTAACTGAGCAACTTCCAACGACTTCCGACTTCCAGATCTTTTCTTGGGATGCTTGCTTCGCTTCCATACTTCCAGGGGTTCTTACTTCCGGGGAGAAGGACTGTTTCGAAAAGAGCGATGATTGAAAAGAATGGGTACTCTACCCCTCGAGCATGCGGGGGGGGGGGGAGGGAGGGGGGGAACCCGTCAAGTGCAAGTCAACCTTTGTCTCCCTGAGTTGTTTTGCTCAGGTTCAGCTGGTACAGGAGTTGCGGCCTCGATCATGTCCGGGCCTTGATGAGGCATCCTCACGAAAGGTTGTTCAGCAAGCGGGACCGATACCTTCACTGGAGGGGAAACCAAACAAGGGATTCTCACACATATATCTATATATGTAAAATGTACATATGCATATATATATATATATACATGTTTGCAAGCCGACGCCAACACAATTCCCTTCAAAGTGAGAAAGTAGTCACCGAAGGTTTCTCTCTGCGGCGACGAGACCTTATGATGTTTGGCACCGCACACGCATTGCCAGAAAGGGCATTGAGGGGTCGCCTTGCAGCTGCGCGCCATGAGGTGAGTGCAAGCCTGGAGGTGTTGAGTCAATGACAGAATTTTCTTGAAGGAGATGGTTTTTCAACAAAGGGTTCTCTTTGGCTCAAAGAGGGGGTCGTGTTGGCCAAACACTTTAGGGCTTTAGGTTGGAGGCACTTGAGGGTGGAGATTTGCTTCCTCGAAAAATACATTTTGTTTGGGGGCAACCCCCCACTATAGGATAGATTAAATGTCGGCTGCAATCGATTGTTTTGGGGCTCCAAAAACACATTTGGGTTGCAAACCCCGACAGTAGGATTAGACTACCGTCCGCAGACATCAAGAACATTTCTCGGGGCTCAACAAACCCATTTGGGGCAAATTGCTGAGCTGTGGGTCCAGCGCGTGTTTGGGACCTCGCAAAACGTCTTTGGGGAGGCAATTCCTCACTGTAGGACTATCAAAACGGCAGCTGAAATGAAGCTTTCGTGGAACATAGATGGGGTCACACCTCCGCAACGAGCTGCTGGCGTCCACGAAATCGTTGCCGCTCGACTTGCAATGCAACTGAATGCTGTCTCCGGCGCTTCTGAAAGAGAAGCCTGAACGGCGCAGAGCATCTGGTTTGGACTTCGTGTTCCCGCGGATCGGAGAGGACAAGCGAGCGGGCCCCGAGTTGTCCATGTCGGGGTGTTGCACTGATTTTGACCCTCTACTGGTTTCTCCTCCAGAGCTTTTTTAGAAATATGACATAGAACCTCTAAGCATGAAAACACGGTTCTTGCCCGCACTCTCACACCTCACCCCACCCCGCACTCCACCCCGCACCACACCTCACCCCCCCAACCAAGGCGTCTTTGCCCCTCAATCTTAGACTCTTCAGACCAGTCTGCCGAGTCACACAGCCTCCATTTGTCCGCAGTCGCACTCGCTTTTCTCACTTCCCTACTTGTTGGAGGTTGCACTTTTGGTAAAACATTTTTTGAGGCAAGCACAATTTTGGACTGTTTTTTGGTTAATCCACCATCACGTCAGGGGTGTTGGAACCTCAAAAAAGACGAAGCCTGGCTAGAAACATCATATGGATCCTTCATGGTTTGTTGTTTCCAAGCGCCAAATGTTAATTTCTATCTTGTGACGATCAGGTGTTGGGAGCAGCCCGGCAGGTGGATTGTTGTGCTCAAGCTTAGACGTGTTGGCCATCCACCTCTGTTCCCTTGTTTCGGGCCACCCATCCAGTCACCCACCCACCCCCGTTTGCCCGCGCGCCCACCCCACCCAACCCACCCAACCAACCAACCAACCCCACCCACCCAACCCACCCAACCCACCCAACCCACCCAACCCACCCAACCCACCCACAACGCTAGTTTGGGGTCTTTTGTTTTTAGGAGGTATGTGTTGTTTTTGCCAGGCTAATTTTGGAAGGGTCTCGTAGTTGAAGGCTTATGCCAAAAGCTCCGGTGGTCTCAGTTGGACTGAGTGCTTAACGTCTTTCACATCTTGCATCAATGGCCCGGCTTGCAAATGCCATCCAAAGTGAAGCTGGCTCACATCCCACAGCAGACTCCAACAAGCAATGCATGGGCCTTACAACTCACTTGATTTTTTGTGCCTGATACTTCGTTGGCTGCGGGGTGCCGCAGGGTAGCAGTAGCTACAAGCTAGAGGCGTTAGAGCCCCAGGCCGGAAGACGCAGCAGTGATCTTTGCAGTAAGTAACGAGCCGCGTTGCCATACACCTCATTACTTGTATATCCTACGCAGCCTGACTGCCGGACGCTTTATACGTTAAGCGAAATACCCCCTTGCGTAACTTGTGCCACAACGCTTGGCTTGTTGTGTGCCCCCCTTCGCTGCACCTCGATGCCCAGACCGTGAGGGATGTACTATGGGTGCTTGTGCTGTCTTCGCACAGAACTCACAAGCTTTGGCAAGTGCAAAGGGGCGCAGATCATGGATGCTAACCCCGATTCTTGTTTTCTAGCCCTTCTTTGTTTAAGGTGGTTCCTTGCTCGCCTGCCTCACAAGGAAGTGGAACCACTGGCAGGTTTCTTTAAGACAAAAATGGCCAGTAGTCACCTGACCCAAAACCAGGGCGTTGAACCGTTATTGTTGAACCAGGCAGGAAGCCCACCCTCCAAGCCACCACTTGCACAAGAAGGTAGATTAGAAGGGGCCAAGGCCACCCGGGCTACCCATGCTACCGTCTCCTCGGCAGAGGTCCAATCGCTTCTCCTTCGTGTTCGGAATGAACGGCCCCAGCGTAACCTTTGATACGGACGCCGCACAACGATTTGCCGGCCGATCGCGATCACTTTTGGGGGTTAAACACGTGTTACGAGTTGCTGAGAAGTGGTCAATACACTCAAACAAGTCGACTGTTTAATGCTTGCTGATCAGTGGTTGAACGCGCTCAAAAAGTTTGATTTGTTTCAGGTTTCTGTTTGCTTTCGATTGGGTTGGGTTTGGTCCCGCGACGAATATCCGCGTTCCTATTTGAGAAAACCATTCTCCTCCCCCATGGAGTTAGCGAACTGCATTCGTTCGTTGGCATGTTTTTCCTTATTGCTTGGTGGGGTTCCACACTAAGCATGAAGCTCTCTCACCAAAAGGAGATGGCTCTTAGTCTTTTCCTTCCGGGATCACGGGTTTGATGCTTTCTCCATTCCAAACCCCTGGTTGGGCTCTGGCTTGCCCCCCGGGCCTCCAACAGATCAGTTCACAAGGGTAGAAAATTGGTTCTTGCTTCATTTGGTTTTGCCTCACCAGGGGCCCCAAGACAAGCGGATCCCAAAGCGGCCATCAACCAGTTTAGAAGGCGGCTCTACTACCTTGTTTCATGGGGTGTGTAGTAGTAGAACTATATAAACATATTTATAGCCATGTGTTTCAAACCAACAGTCATTTGGTTTTGAAAGCTGGACGAGTGTCCGAAGGTGTTGTGCTAGAGCCATCAAGGGTACACAACAGGAACATAACATGGTTCATGTTTGAAACGGTACAGTTTGTTTATTTCGTTGCATATGACTTGACAAGTTCTATATACTTATGAGTAACACGAGGTCATGGTGACGGCCGCCGATGTTCAATCCTTTAGGACTAATAGGGTGGTGTTTCGTTAGCCGCAGACATGCCTCGTTTTCTCGGGTCACCCCCAATCAGAATCAACCAGGGGGTTGTTAATCCTGGGTTCCCATTATTTCTATGGTGGCAAGGGGTTCCCTTAAAGCGGCCTCGCACAATCCCAACTAAACCTAGGCCCTATCGGAGGCACCTTCGGAGTTTCTGCAAGAGTTCTCAAAACTGGACACCAATGGTTTTAAAGAGGAACCAAAACAGTTGCCACATTCAAACCCCCTATTTGTTTTACAGGATATATTGCAAATGGGGAAGCCCTGACCTTTTTTTGTGGTCCCCCCTTGCCCTTTAAAGCAACCCTCAGCAAAAGGACGCTTCCACCAGCCTCGTCGTGTTGGACGCCGGTGTCGTGGCGCGGAAGCTGAGAGAATGGGGTCGCGTCCTATTCTCATGTTCGGATAGATCAGAAGGGTATGGGTCAAAATCAAACCATCAGGGGACCGCAGGTTTTAGTCTTTGTTTCCATTTGCCAGGATTCTGGGTACCTATTTTTGACCCACACCCAGAAGAATCAGAGCTCACGCCTCTGGTTTACGAGCAGCCTTTGTCAGCCAGCCTGCCTTGCCCGCGGTCTTTGCAAGCTTATCCCTCTCCAGATTTCGTGGGTTCCTTTTTCTTGCCAGGGAAACCAGGGCAAATGCTCAAAAAGGTCCCCCCTATGGGAACCTTAGAACACGGAATGCGCTACTGTTCTTGTTGCTTAGTTTGCGTGTTTGTCTATGTTCACTACCAGGTGCTGCAAAACGGGTTAGTGTTGAAAGTTCAAGCGATGGGCTTAGTCCTGTTGTTCAGTGTTACCCCACTTCCTTTTTTGTTTGCTGGGGTCCCCGTCCCCTCCAAAAAATCAAACCAACCTCAAAAGCATGTGGTTTTGCTCTTGCTACCTTCCGGGTCACTGGCTGCAACTGGGAGGCGCCCCTACTTTTTCGGTGGGCTTGCGATTGCTTCAATAGAACACAATTCAAGCCTGGGGCATCATTCAAGAATATGCTGTTTTCAGGGTAGTCCAAGTACGAAGCAGATGTGAGTAGATGATTTGGTGTGTCCCCGCGAGCTCCTGGACTTTAAGCTTTGAAGAGCATTGCAGTGATACATTCCACGGGGTTTGGAACTTGTCACAACTCCCCCACGTGGAGCCGCCTTTGTTTCCTTCAAAAAAGCATTTAACAAGATGCCTTGCTTAGGAAACACGAGGGGCCTCGGGTTGGGGCGCTTTTGTCCGAAGTCGAAGGCGCTGGACGGGCGACGGACACAAGCGACCATGAGCAGCTGTGCCTCGAGCTCAGTCCGGCGGTTTTGGTACGACCCTTGCCTTTTTGTTGGCATGAAATGAGCTTTTCAATGCACTCCCTCAGTCGGAAGCTTTTTGCAGAAGGCCTCTGCAAATGGAACCAAGTCTTAAAGGGTCCCGTGGGGCTTCCCCAAAACGAAAGTGGTCTTTCAAAATCCTCCTGTCGCTTCCATGATTGTTGGAGGGAGGATACTTAGTTGGGAAACCCAGAGTACACCGAGAATAGGATGTTAAGGTACCCCATGTTCAGTGTAAAAACCTTGATGAATGGACCTGGTTGATTCATGGGGGGACGTTCCGTGTTAGAGAAGAACCTTCATTTCTGAGGGAGCCTGTTTGGCCAACTCACTGAGTGGATTGGCTTTTGAACACTTTGGGCCGGCCTTGTTTTTCCAACCCCAAACTGCGTTTCCAGGTTTTGGAGTCAGAAAGACAAGTTTCCAAGAAAGAGCAGGGGCCCCTCCAGTTGCTCTTCACTACGACCTTCAGCCCTTTGTCCTTACAAAATCTTGGAAAATGGCTGTTTCCTACTGACTAATGTAACTATGTGGTCTCTTTGACAGTTGCAACAAAGATAGACCTTCGGTGGGTTGTTTCTCCTTCATTTTTGGTGCGCACCTGTTTTCCTACAGAAATCCACAGCAGGCCTGGGGTCAAACCAGATTTCCATGTTTGTGGAAGATATGGAAAGGTCAGAAGGGTGGACTCCCTCTTGGTTGGTGTTTAAAGAGAAACAACAAGAAGGATTCTAAACATTTTTCGGGAGACCCGCATATACCCGGGGTTTCCCAGAATAGGTTCTGGGGTTGTTCGGAGCGGCCCGGGCATGGATTTGACCCTGGGTCGCTCGGTTTTTCCCCTGGTTTTGCGCAAATTTCTGCGTTGCCAAGGCAACTCCCTTTGAAGCCATAAAGTGCGCATCGGGACGGGCTACTTCAATATCACAGGATGCGCGATTTTCCACAACCGCTCAAATTCCCGCCACAATCCCAGCTGCTCAAACAGCTCCATCGCTTTTGCTTCTGAGTGCTCAGCGTATCAGAGCCGTTTGTGGGGTCTCCTTCAAAATGATGTTATATTTTAAGGTAAACCCAAAATGGATCGTCTCACAAAGGGCTCCAAAACAGCAGCCTCTGAAAGGAACCCTTTGCGGACTTCAACCCGGATGGCTATGAATCTTAATGGAAATCTTGAACAGTGATCGGGCAATCCCAATGTAAATGTCCACTGAAGCGCCCCAAATTGGCGGTTCCCAGCCATACCCGGACATGACTTTGGGTGAGGGGTCAAAGAAACACTATGTTGGATGGGAGTTGCCCTGGCAAATGCCTCAGACAACTGATGTCCACTTCAAGGGTCCCGCTGAAAAAGCACACCCAGATCTCTCTGCCCAGCATTCTACAACAGTTTCCACTACCCCGGAAACCGCTGATAGACGAGAGCAAATACGGTACATAGCCTTTGTTAATTACGGCTGCATCTGCCATCTTTCTGGGCTCAGCCGAGCTTCGTTTTGGGGGGTGGGCCGGTGGGTCTCTCTCCATGGCGCTGCGCTGCGGCGTGCTGCTGGGCTCCCCCAACTTGTCGAAGTCCAAAATGGGCCGCGCCTGCGCGGAGTTCCTGCGCACCAGGCTGGAGGACGCGGACAGTCGCATGGGCTGTGAAGTTGCAGGCCTGAAGCAGATTGACACGGAATCTGAAAACCGTTTCAGAGGAATTGCCCTTTTTTCAAGGACTCTTGCCGGCTGTGTGGGAGCAACTCTTGCAACAAAAATCCACTTCTGCGCTCCTACCCAAGAAACAGTCAGTGAATTCCACCCTCAAAATCACTTTTCTTTGGGTTCAGGGGTTCCAACGTGATTTCCTTCTAGGGTCACTGAGCAGCTGGGAGGTAGCTGATGTGTTCGATCAGAACTCGATCAGACTTGGGTGAAGCTTCGGGAGACGGCCGATTTGGTATCACAGGAAGGGTTTCCAAGCCTGCATACGTCCGTAATGTCCAGCCTTTTTGGGGCTGGTTTTTCATGAGTCAGACACAAGCAACGATTGCCCAACAAAAAAGTTAGGGCTCATAGCAGGGGGTCATGTTCTGGATGTAGTCGAGAATTTGAAGGCAGGGCAAGCAATCCTTCCATCAGCAACAATACCATGTTTGAATCGAAAATTTGATTGCGTTTGTCTCCCATTTTTTGTTTTCCTTTGTGCATTGTGCAAAACTCCCCTCCCGCTTTCCAGGCACCGAACCGACCTTCTTTGGAGAAAGAAATCAAACAGAAAGCGTGGCCATCTGGAGAGAACATAGAACTGGGGAAGGAAGGATTTGGGTTTTGGGTTGGTCCAACCCTTGGGTTGGCATGAGCACCAAGCCCGACATGGATTGCCAGAGATTCATGTGGCTGATGAGACACGGTTGGACATTTGACCTGTGGCTCCGATCGAAACAATCAAACCAGGACAAAGTGAAGCAGAATCAAAACGTGTCAATCGAAGAAACCAGCTAGAGGAGATTACACAGGAATGCCTTGCTCTTGGAGGGTATTTGTTTTGTCAACTTTCCAGCAGAGATTTCTTGTAGCTGGTTTGTATGAGTCAAGTTTTGCTCTAGACTGACTTTTCTTCGGTGGACTCCCCCCACAGCTTGGGTCGGGGAGCTTGAAGTGGGATGTACATTCACACAGAGCAACTAGTATCTTTGGATATTAGGAAATATGTAACAACAAATATCTGGCCCAATTCCCATGAGGCGGACACCCGGAGGTTTTAGCAGTCTTGGTGGCTCCCAGCCATCCCCTTAGCTTTTTAGCCTTGTAGTGTTTAGTGAGGGTTTGCATTGAACCCACTAAAAGTTGAAAACTTTTAGCAGGGGATCTGAGGGCAGCCCAGCAGTGATTTCCGCGAGGGTGATTCTCTCAGGACCGCGGCATGAGCGCAGACCTGGACCTCTTTGAAGCGGAGGAGGACTTTGTGCAGCAGATGCTGCGGAGGCCCAACTTCCACATGCCAGGCCCGGACCCCCCTCTGTGCGTGGGGTGGTTCTTTGGTTTTTCACGGTGCCCTTTCACCTTGGCGTTCCGGAAAAAGTCAGAAGGAAGCCTACTAGTTTTGTGAGTCCACGGCTGGGTATGCGTCGAAATAAGGATTCCCCAACATATGATGATGGCATTCCTCCCACACGCCTAAAAGCTTCGGGCTTCAAGATGATGTGGGGTTCCGGAGGTCTGCAACGGGGGCCGTGGCAGTGGGGGATAACTTTGGAAGGGGTTTCTTCCGCATGATTGTGTATTTGTTTGGGGGAGGGTGTAGATTTTGCACTTTCAATGATAGCAAGGGAATCCCTTCACAGTGACAATTTAGCCATTCGGATGGAAATCCCAAACGGCATCACAGAGTGACGCCTTTGTCCAAGGGAAAGAACGGGCCCTTTTGTCTCAGACTACCTTAGTCAGGCTTGCCACAAGGCGTCGAACAACGGTTGTGCTCGGGGCGTTGGAGCAAGCCTATGGTTGACCCAGTAGTTCATGAGCGGCTTGGCAAATAGGGAGGCTTTGTCACTTTAGCAATCGAAGGAACCTGTTTTCTTTTGAGGGGGAGGGGGATGGCAACCCATTCCTGACTCAACATGAACCAGTATCTCTGAGTTTACCGTGTACAGGTTTGGGTCAAGATTCGAGTTTTCTTTGGAGGTAGTGTCCTTTCTGTTTGCAGCACTCGAAGCTGGAAGAACCTCGAAGGCGAGCCGGCGCCTCTGCTACGTCTCCGGCAGCGCCTTTCGGACTGCGACGCCTTCGTGCTGGCGGCGCCCGATGGCGGAGCGGTGCCCGAGGTGCGACCTGACCGGACTTGTACTTCATGGAAGCCGTTGAACGGGTTCTAAGAAGCGGGTTCCAACTTGCACAAACAATCATGTGTTTGTGTGTGTGTGGCATCCGAAAGGAACTCATTGGAACCCATCCTGGAGCCTCCATCGTGGAAACAGATGCCTCCCCTCTGGCTCGATACACAAATTGACACGCTGTAGGGTGTTTTCCTCCACAGGTTGCTTTCCAGCATTTGTTTGGGAATCGAGCAGAAATCAAGTTCGGTAGTTTCACGTTCGTTCACAGAGGAGAGTTTGGGAAGAGTCATCAACGAAACGAGCGCAAAAGAACTGCAAAACGAGCGCAAAATCGGCGAAAACAAGTGCAAACAAGCGAAACTCCAAAACATGGTAGAGGAAATGGGTTCCGACTGGCCCATGATTGCTGACAACTCGAGCAATTTTTGTTGAATCGTACATTAATTCTAGAATAGGTTGTCACAAGCAGAAATACTGCGTAGCAAGAAATCTTGTATCAATGGAGGCTGCAAGATTGAACTGGTCAGCCAAGTGATGTTGATCCCGGATCGTGGGTATTTATGTGTCAAAATTTGAGTCCAAAAAGTGTGGCTTTCCTTGTGGGTTCCCCTTAGACGAAGCTGAAAGGGGCACAAAGTGAGGCTCCAAGTGTTTCACGTGAGCCGTTCACCTGGACCCTCCAGCTTCGAAATTACAGGGAGATTTCCCCCTCACAATAGTATCCACTTCCTAACCGGTTTAGGGATAGGACCCAACTACCTTAAGGGGGGGGGTAGGGGGGGGTGCAGTGGTTTGAGGGTTCTGGTGGAGATCCAAGCGAGGTTCGGTCAAGATGTCCGTCGATGTAGAACGAGGGTGACTCTCACATTTCCCAAACCTGGGGACTCATTTTGCCAGATGGTGGCAACATATTTTCACCGAGACTCAAGTGGAACCCTGCGGACTACTGCAATAGCAGATGTGTTCGCTCCCCGGAAGTGGAGGATCTCAGTGGGAGAAAGCACCTCGTTTTCCTGCGAGGTCTTCGAGCTACTGCTGCCACAGTTGGGAGGCGCGGCAGCTCCTTGCAGCATGCCAAAAGCCACGCCCTAGGCCTTGACTCGCTTCAGGTGGACTTTGGCCACTTTTTTGGGCTTGGACCATGTTC